TCTCTCTCTCTCTCTCTCTCTCTCTTCCTCCTGTGTTCATGTCCTTAGGGAGGAAATTGTTTCAGATAATATCAAATTTTGAATCAGAAACCAACCAGAAAACAATTGCTTCATGGACCATCCATCATCGGTAGATGTGCTACCGGCTTCCCACACCTCACACTTGGAAACCATCCATTAAACTCTTCAGACAATTCCAACTGCATATGACATTTCCAACACATCCAAATACGATTATGTGAAATCTGTTTAGGCAGTGATGATTCAAGACAATTCCAACTGCATATGACATTTCCAACACATCCAAATACGATTATGTGAAATCTGTTTAGGCAGTGATGATTCTATCACTTAATTAAACGGAAAAATTCGTGGTAGGAGAGACAATCGTAAAATCTGATTCGTTGTCAAAAGTCATGCTCAGGTTCTGTCACCATAAGTCAAGTCTTCTCGATGATCGAGGGAACTGTGTCGGTGGAGATAATGCGGAAGTACCACACTCTGATCCACAAGGTATGTCTCCTTTATTGCCATTAAGTTTGGAGTAGTTGCCCTCTCTTAATAGCTACATATTTATGGGATTCTTAGATGTACATATACCACATGGATTGCACCGGTAATACGATTTCACATGGATGTCTGAATTCTGATATTACAGTGAGAGACATAGCAAGTTACTGTATCTTAGACACCATTGTCTCTCTTCACCTACTGCTGCGCAGAGAGAGAGAGAGAGAGAGAGAGATTTAAGGGACCACCCAATTAATTGGAATAACTCAGGATCACAGCACAAATATTTTGCTGTTGAGCACTAGACAATTACTCTTGCCATTTCAAAAACTTGCTCATTGATGAAGGGAATCAGACAACCGTACTAGATACTGATGAGATGGCAAACATGACCTCGCATGTAATCTACTCACGTTGCACACTAAAATGCAATGCCCCATGCATATTGTTTTCTTCCCCTTGAGCTGATTGCTCTCTGTCTTCACATGAAATCTTGGACTCGAGGAAGCAATGTTTGGGAACATCCACTTCTTTTTTTAGTTATTTCCACCCAAGTTCTATATTGATTCATTTATCCTCTAGCCCACAAAATCTTGTCTTTTCTCGAAGAGAAATCAAAGTTGTAACCAAGAATACAAGTCTAATGCATTCTTTAGATCGCATGTCTTCACCTTCATTTCTGTTCTAATTGTTTGTGAAATAGTTTCTTTGACTTGAAAACACAATTTTCTTTGTTCCTAGTTTTGTCTGTCTTGTGAACTGTGCACAATGTCAGCAAATAGAAGATATTTTATTGCCGAACTCGCTTGGCAACTGTTAAACAAATTATAGTTAGCTGATGTTATGTAGGAATTACCAGTCTGCGTATAGAAGTAGAAAAACAGATGGGGGATGACCAAAAGAATGGCTTTTGTTGGCCTCATGAGTAAGGTAGGGGCAACATATATATTACTTGCTCGTAAGTAGTGATACATAGAAGATGATGAGAGGTAAGAGCAGGACTAGAAGAGAAGGTGGTGGTCACTGGGAATGGATGGTGTCGGTTCGGAGTAGCTTGAGGACAGCTGAAAGGAAGGTGAAAGTGAAATGGATGCCATGAGAATGTTGGAGGAGGACAACCTCTGCTGTCCATCTTTGAAATGTTGAGGCATGTGACTGTGGTTTGGATTCTATTTCTCTACAAATATCATCTTGTCCACCTTTTTTTTTTATGTTTGTGTTTTTTTAAGTGGTGTGGTAGCGCTTCTAAGGAATAAGGCCGCATATATTTGCATATTTGCCCTTCTTCATTCATCAACTCAACAACCCAACTCGGGATAGATGTAAAATCCTGATAGATAATTTGTTTTATCTGAAAATTATTCAATCAAATTAAACTAACATAACCGTATTTAATATTTTGATTTAGTTTCATATCAAAAGTGAATAAAGATTTTAATTAATTTGTAAGAGCATGAAGATTATTTGGGCTTAAGTATATTGGGTCAGTGACTTAATAAATTAATTATCTCATCAAGTTGGGTCATAATAATTGATATCATAATCCATCTAATATTTAGGTCATCATGTCAGTCGTGACAAGATTGTTGAGAGAAAAATTAACGAGGTAAAAAAAGATAAATCCTGTGATAAGATTGTGGAGAGGGTCGATCTTCCTAGTCTAAGAAAGAAAAAATTATAGTCTAGCCTTGCGGTGGATGTAGATAAGTTGCTCTCATGATGATTTGACAATGGACGCATGACACTCCATGATTGGTTCATCAAATGGATCCACTAATATATATACCCCATCACGTATACAACAGATGCATATTGTGTAATGAATCACTCACCTAAATCGTAAGAACATCAAAATCATTTATATTTGATTTAATGTTATTATTTGGGCCAGTTGCGAATGATGGGCCACTAGTTACATGGAAGATTGCTACCCTGTTACGTGTAATCGAGACCATAGAAAATGCCCTTTTAGTGCAAAGGGCTCCATGGAAATGTTGGTATTGTGAGAGACAACAAAGAAAATAGAATCCGTACCCACCACTGTAGCAATCGTCACTTTATTCTCAGCTTTCTTGCTGCATTCCGTTGCCATGACAAGAAGCAACTGGAAGATGAAGGTCGAGAGAGCATCAGGCCAAACCACGCGTTTGTCTCCTTCTTCCTTAGGCTTCTTCATGCCTGGAAGATGAAGGTAGAGAGAGCATCAGGCCAAACCACGCCTTTGTCTCCTTCTTCCTTAGGCTTCTTCATGCCTGACTCACGTGCCACAAAGCAACAGGCGTTGATCACATAGCACAGAGAGAGAGAGAGAGAGAGAGAGAGAGAAGTGTCCATCACCTTGTGAGCTGCTGAGGGCAGATTGAGATGGTTTTTGTCCATGGATTACTGGAGCCGACTTGGTTTACTTATGGAAAAGATGTCCTCAACTCCAAGGATGTCGAGGTGGACTCCCGTGAGAGGCAACAATACATTAGGGTGGTCAGTTTGAGCCGGAGATTGTACTAAAAGAAAAGAAAAGGCATATTCTATCAAATGACGGCAAATACTATTACAAGTTGGTAAAAATAATTTGTTATGTGAAATAACAAATTTGGAAGATCTATTAATCTTGAGAATGCGACAAACTCGATGATCACAAAAAGAAAGGTTTAAGATTGTAGAAATCAAGTTGCATACTTCTTAAAGGGACTACTCTATGATGATGATTGAATCTCATTGGCAATTCCTCTGGTGTTGTCAAGTCTGAAAAAGGAAAAAAGGACTATCCAGTGGACACTGTTTGAGCAATGCTCAGATTCATATTTGTGCAGCCACTTGAAGAAGATAGTTTGTTCCAGCTAACCTTGGCTGGTCTCTACACAAGCAAAATAAGCAAGCAGTCAAAAAGACTAAACCACTTACTAGAAAAACTCAAACTTTTTGATGTAGTCAGAAACAAATTGCAAAGACTACTCAGCATTCTTTTTCTCGGAACGAATAACAAATATTTCATAAACTACTTTGACTTTGAGTCTCCACAATTTCATCCATAATATCATTACAAATATCTACTGTCGGTAGTTTGCATAAACAAGTGGAGATGATGTTTATGCCAGCAAATCATTCTTAAAAAATTCTTGATCCATTTTCAGGCATTTCCTTAAACTAGACGAGTGATGATGGATATAGAAATATATAGATCATAAATAGTTCATGAAGGCATTTAAATTATGAAGACATGGTGCAGCATTTAACATAACAAACTATATAAGCTATCGATAAGAGCAAGTGAGCAAGTGAGCCAGCATTTAATGTCGAGGCATAGCTGGCATAACTCAAGATGTTAGCCAAGATATGTCCAAAAAAAAGTTGAGACTTACTGTCATTAATGATCGTTGGTCCCCGTGTCTCTATTGTCTGGTCTACGTAGTGAAGGAAGCAGGATGGTGGATTCCTATCGTTAATAATCGTTGGTTCTCATATTTAGTCCACGATAGTAGAGGATTCCAGTATTATCGCTATCACTTTTCATCCTCAATTTTTATGTTTTTGATGTTTTTCTAAAGCAGCACAATGTCTATTCTGCCATCCCAGTTTTGCATTGTCACCCTTTTCCTAATTTACTTCCCTTTATCATTTCCGATCATGGAATTCTCCTAGTCACATTTCACCCTTCTTTCCATCATATCATGTCTGCATTCTCAGCCTAATAAAACCTCAGATATTTCTCCGCGGTCGTAAAAGAAACCCTAAATGTCATCCAATGTCCACAGAAGCCTACCTCAGCCGCGAGGATCCAAGCGTGGTAAGCAAAAGGGCAGACAAGGAGGTTCTCATTTGCCGAATCGAAAGGAGAAGACCATAAAAACCAACCACGAAGGGCGGATCGACGCACCGTCGACGCCGAAGCCTTCGTCTTTCCCTCCGTCATCGGGGTTGCTACGCCCTTCCCTTCTCCACGGCCACGCCAAGATGAATCGCCTGCCCTACGCCGGAGGAGTCAAGCTGAGGCACCGCCGCGCAGCACTCGGCCAAGGCAGCTCTCCGCCGACGCTTGGCGTTCCAAACGCTTGGCTTTCCCTCCGCGTGTACTTAAAAATAGGCCCTGAAGCGGGTTGGGCGCGGTTCAGATGTGAGAACCGAAAGTAACAACCCGGAAAAGATCCGAAAACCAATCTCCTACGGACCCATTACCGACCTAGGTAGGAACTGGATCCGACCCGATAGGCACAAACGTGAGGGTTTGGGTTTGGGCTATTTACGACATTTAACTGCTTCTCCCTCTTCCGGATAAAACGATCTCCCGATTCCGAAGACGAGGGTTTCGAGCGAAGGGTTTTGGAATCCGGCTAGAGAAAGAGCTCGGTGAGTCTGCTCTTGTCTCGTATACACACTGCAAAATTCTTCAGCCTCCTTCAACTATTTGTACGGTGTTCTTAGTCGAAGATTTGATTGGTTTTATTGGCATCTTCCTCCATTTTTGTTCCTCGATCGTGACATATGATTTGCTATTGAGTCTGGCATGTTGCGTAGTCGGATTCCGGCAACGCCGGACGTCGCTGGAGTCGCGCCTGCGGAGAATCTTTTATCGCTAGGGTTTGTGTCTCACAAGAAAGGGAAAAATCAGATTTTGTTTCGAGATTTTGTTCGTCCATCAGCAATGAAGAGTGGGGTTTGTGCACGACTAAAATTTGGGGGAAATAATTTTCCTGTCAAATCCGAAGTCAAGAGAACATCGGTCTCGTATGGAGGGTGTATTCCATCGGTCTTGCGAGCACTGGAAACATTTCCAGATTTAGATGAGGCTCTGAAGCCATGGGAAGACAGCCTCAGCAGCAAGGAGAGGACTATAATTTTGAAAGAGCAAACGGATTGGAGAAGGGCTGTCGAGATCTTTAATTGGTTTAAGAGAAAGGGGTGTTACGAACTCAATGTGATTCACTACAATGTCATGCTCAGGATTCTCGGGGAAGCGCAAAAATGGGATCTTGTTGGGTCGTTCTGGAACGAGATGCAATCCAATAGGATAATGCCGACGAATTCAACTTACGGTACACTCATCAATGCTTACTGCAAGGGAGGCCTCAATAAAGCAGCGCTCGTCTGGTTAAGTGATCTCTACAAGCAAGGAATGGAGCCAGATGAGGTGACAATGGGAGTCATTCTCCAAACATATAAAAAGGCTGGGAAGTTCCAAAAGGCAGAGCAGTTCTTTCGAAGGTGGTCATCAGATATTTATGATGATGGTGAAACACAGAAGGGTTACAGCTTATACACGTATAATACGCTGATTGATACTTACGGAAAAGCAGGGCAGCTTGAGAAGGCTTCGAGGACCTTTACACAAATGTTGGGAGAAGGTATTGTTCCAGACACAGTCACTTTCAATACAATGATTCATCTTTATGGTAACAATGGGTGCCTGGAAGAAATATCTTCCTTGATGACAATGATGGATGAACACCATTGTGTCGCTGATACAAGAACATATAACATACTTATCTCAGTCTATCTAAAGATGAATGATATCGACACAGCAGCTAGTTACTTTTCAAAGTTGAAGGTAGCTGGTCTAGAACCAGATATTGTCAGTTACCGCACTCTTTTATATGCATATTCTGTGAGGAACATGGTTGGAGAAGCAGAAGCTCTTATAATGGAGATGGAAGAACTATCTCTTGAGATTGACGAGTACACACAATCAGCTTTGACGAGGATGTACACAAATGTGGGGTTGATTGATAAATCATGGTCTTGGTTTGAGAAGTTAAGTGACAAAATGAGTTCGGAGTGCTTTTCTGCCAATATTGATGCTTTTGGGGAGAAAGGGCACATCCATCTTGTGGAGAAAGCTTTTTCTTGTTGCTTGTCCAGGCAAAAGCTGAGTGTTCTTGTGTTCAATGTGATGATAAAGGCTTATGGGTTGCAAAAGAACTGTAATAAGGCTGCTGAGTTGTTTGATGGAATGATAGGCTATGGCGTTGTGCCAGATCAGTGCACTTATAGTTCAATAATACAGTTGCTATCAGCTGCTGAACTACCTCATAAAGCAGTATACTATGTCAGAAAAATGCAAGAGGCAGGTTTGGTTACCGACTGCATTCCATATTCAGTGGTAATGACTTGCTTTGCTAAGCTCGGCGAATTACAAACAGCAGAAGATCTATTTAAAGAAATGATTAGCTTTAAAATTCAACCCGATATTGTTGTTTACTCCATTCTAATAAATGCATTTGCGGAAGTTGGAAATGTTCATGAAGCCATGAAATATGTTGATTCCATGAAGAGTGCTGGTTTGACTCTCAACTCAATAATTTGTAACTCTCTGATCAAACTCTATACAAAGGTTGGATACTTGAGAGAAGCACAAGAGGTTTATGAATTCTTGAAATCGTCGGAAGACAGTCCAGATGCATATGCATCAAATTGCATGATTGATCTTTACAGTGAAAATGCTATGCTAGGAGAGGCAGAAGAGATCTTTGACAACTTGAAATGCAATGGAAAGTCTAATGAGTTTTCATATGGAATGATGCTGTGTTTGTACAAAAGACTTGGGCGACTTGGCGAAGCTTTTTTCATTGCCAAAGAGATGCAAACCTTACAACTCCTGACCAGCTCAGTGAGTTGCAATAATATAATAGCTTTGTATGCAACTAATGGGAGAACGAAGGAAGCTGTGGAAACTTTCCGTTACATGCTGGCCTCGGGTATACCACCCGATGATGGTACATTCAAGACATTAGGTCTTGTTTTGCTTAGGCATGGAGTGTCAAAGGAAGCTATAAACCAATTAGAATCTGTGAGAGGAGAAGATGCTGAAGTTGGTTTGGAAGAATGGATCAAGGCTATATGCTCTGTCCTCAGATTTGATGTTAATCTGAGGCATGTGGGTAAAACAAAGAGTTGTTATAACATAGAACCTTTTACCGTAAATCTGTGCGAGAAAGAATTTGCATTGAAGGAATTAGGCGATGTCAAGCAAGGATTGTGTGGCTAAAAGCTGTGCATACTACTAGAAATCTTCAGTGTCTTTGAAATAATTTCCATTATATCAGCCTGCCAAATCTGTCTTTGACATTTACGATTGGCTGCAGTCTCTGTAAATAGGAAGACCTTGATCGAAAAGCTTTGATTATGGTATCTCAGCTACTCGATTACTGATTTAACTTTATTTTGTCCCTCTTCATGTCTTATTTGACTCAGGTGAGCTGTGACCATTCTGAATATTCTGAAAGCGAAGTGCAGGTGTAGATGTAATTCTAGAATGTTTATGCTATAAAACCTGATTCCAGTTTGTAGGTATGAGACTGAACATGTGATTTGTACTGACTATTTTTTGTTTTTTTTTAACAGACTATTGGTGCTACATGGTCTTTAGACAAGCTTGAGTGTAACTTATCTTTTTTTTAATGCAAAATAGCAATTCCTGAGGAGCCATCATACAGATGTAATTGAATTGGTGAGGAATGAAGAAATATAGGTAATTCATCTATGATCCGCTTTTTTATATAGTTTAACACGTGATGTAGGTAATTATTTTCTGATTTCATTGTGCAATTTGCTGATTTCTAACCCTTTTTTTTTTTTTTGCTTTCAAAGGGGTTCTATTGAGGAACAGACAAGATGAATCAATTCCATCCCTGAAAAATTAGTGTGCAAATCCCTACCTTGCTACACCTGTGATGTGTTTCCTTTTCTGCTCAAATGGTGTATGCTGTTTCTTTGGAGTCACTGAACCACATCAGCAGAAGTTCACCTTGGTGCCCTAGCATAGACGAACCACCTTAAGCTCCCACAGTTCATTTGGGATGATGACTTGAAACGGTTATGGAATCACAAGGCTTAACAGAGATCAGTACTTGACTGACATTTTTCTTGTTTGTTCTAAACAAAAACACATAAAAAGGGTCTGATGTAAAAAACTTAGTTCAATCACTGGCAAACTCATCGATCACAAAATTATTTGGAGAAAGAACTTAGGTAATCAGAAAAGCACAATCCCTTAGCCAATCCATATGTTGTGAGACATTGATGAGGTATGAGTGATGATCTGAGTCATACCACTTAGGTAAGGTACATGTTGCATTCATGCTCGGTTGTGTTTAAGTCAAGATTAGATATGGATTTCGATAAAATGATGATCAGGATTTGTTTCACCGAAAAATTTAGTATGTATATTGATTTTTTTTCCAGATGAGGGTGTGCCTTATAATATTTTTTTCCCGTCGTCACGCTTCGTATGCATGTGTTCGGTCTTCGTCTTCTCTAGAATATGGTTGTAGGTAGTAATTGCCTGTAGTATCTCCTGTAGCGGCCATAGGCTCTAATCCTAATTTAATACGTAGTGTATAGGAACATATAACTAACACACATGTAGTAGTTGGGCAGTAAGACTTCGCTATCATCAGTATTATTGCGAGCAGGTTTCCAAGCAGAATCGGAACCAAATCTGGTGACGTAGATGACGATATAAGTATTCTCTTCGGTTTGTTGGTGACAAATAGCAGAAACAAGAGGAAAAGAACCTCGTTGCTTTTGATGCACCCTCCTCCTTTCTGCTTCTTTTGGAGAGGGATAAAAGAAGGGATGGTGGGGCAGTTTGCCTCGCGAGGAAGGGTCCAGAGACACAATAGTTTTGGCTTTAGGTCAAGGAGATTGTTTAGTTGGCAGGAGATGGATAGTAGTACACTGCAGCTCGCAGAATTATAGAATCGCTCTCTATGATCCTGCCATTATTTATTATTCTGTGTTGGCGTTGTTGACGGGATGATCACCAATCAATCAAGCTAGTATTAAAATCGTGGAAATATAATGAAATCAGAAATATGGTGTTTCTTGTTTGCAACGTCATCGATGGTCGATGGTGGGGGCAGAGGGAAAAAAAAAAATCAGCACTTAAAAAAATAATTTCATCATCTCTAAAATTGGTTTAAGAGATAATTTAAATAAAACAAATAAATCTAAATACCCAAAAAATTTTGATAAATTAGAATCTAATTTTAATTTGAGTTTAATTAAAAAATATAATTGAAAGTTATGGGAGAATGAAGACGGTGACCAGCAATGTCGTCATCTCACAATTTTACTAATATTTAAATAATATTAATTATGACTATATATATATATATATATATATGGAGGAGAGTAAAAGAGACCTTTTCTCGATGCATCGCCATCTTGCTATGTGTGCCCCTTTCGGAAACCACCGCGGCCGGCGCCTTGTAATCCTGAGAGCTTGATAATAATTAAAATAAAAAGTCATAAGAGATATGATCGTAGAAAATAATTAAGAGTTAGCGAAAGAAATACTTACCACCCATTTGCCGCACCACCCTTAAAATGACAAAACAAGAAATTATTATTACTAATTTAGTGATAAGACGTCTCTTCTTACAAACCCCTCTCTCTTTTAGAAGATCAGAAGGGGGACGACGGAGGTTCCCTTTTTTAAGCATTTACTCTAAAGAAGAAAATAATTACAATAATACAAAAGGAAATTAAGGTTTCTCGGATAGGACGGAAGTCAGGCCGGTCACAACCTTCGCTCCCTCGTGAACAGCTTTGGGCTTCACCTCCGGCGGTTCCCACGCCGACGCCGCCGATACCACCAGTACTGCCGAGCTCTTCCCCTCCGCCGACTTCTCGCTCTTCGCTTTCCCATCCGATTCACCGGTCTCTTCTGCTTGGGCTGCTGGCGGAGGATCCGCCAGGGGAATCGATCGCTCGTAGGGGGCGAGCCATTTGGAGCGCATGTACTCTGGCTTCCGCCAGGGCGGGAAGTGGAGGCCCTTCTTCTTCAGGCTCTGCTGAGCGGCCTCCGACACGACGGCGACGATCTGGTCCACCTGATCCTCCTTCCCGACGAAGACGGGCGGCAGAGACTGGAGTACCGCGGCGTAACTCTTTGTCGACCGCGCGATCTCGAACTCCGACCGGAAATCCACGTCCACCAACAGCCGGTCGCCGGCGACGATCACGTCGATGTACTCGTGCTCGCCTGCGTCAAGTCATCAGTCAACACCCCCGTGCCATCACTGGACGGAAACGTAGGAGAGACACTGCGGGCTGGGGGTAGGCGGAGGAGGAACGTACCGGCGGGAAAGGAGGGGGTCTTCTCCCATCTCGACTTGCTAATGGAGGCATCATATCCGAGCAATCGGAGCCCGTTGGCCACGGCCTTCATCTGCTCGTCTTTTCGCTTGCAGTTCTTGTTCTTCTCCACAACGCTGGACGCATCCGCTAAGAGATTCCTCTCCACAAGGCTTGCGGAAACCACCAAACCCTGTAACAATCCATATTTCTTTGGTCATATTACGGGTCTTGAGGTGAAAGAAATCCAGTGGATATGGAGCACCAACGGGGAGTTGATTCTGGGAGAAACCGCCGATACCTTAACAACTTCGGCCGCGGAGACCATCGGAGGATCGCCGGAGTTGAAGGAGGAGGGAAGTAAGTCGAGGTCGTCGTCGGAGCTGTCGCGGCAGTTTCCATGGAAGCAATTACAACGGCTTCGGCCGCTCCGGTAGGAAGTCTGCTCGCCGTTGTTGTCCTCCATGAAATTGCGGACCATCTTGTCGAGGCAGATGGAGCTCAGCTCAAGATCGGCGCCGCCAGCGAGGCGCTCAGCCGACGAGATTCTCAGGACGCTGGGGAATTGCCGCTCGAACAGCCTCTTCAGCCGTGATTTCTGCACCGGCTTTGCCAGATCGCTCCGCCCCACCGCTATTACGTCGATCGGCTGTATCTTCGTAGGAAACGGCATGATTTTGACCAAAATGGAAGGACCACTCCCTTGTTACAAGCTGGAAGTTAGCAACACTCCGTCTCACCACATCAAATCGAGGTAATGACGCCGGAACCGGAGATCAATTACAACATCGGCACTCCAAATATCCGATCCGCAGAGTAAACAAGGATCAGAGAAACGGAAAAGAAAGAACACGATCGCAATCAACAGCTCATCGAGGAACACAATAGTTCAGATCAGGAACGACTCCTGATCTCCAAAAGACGGGACGCTTGGCAACGAGGTTTCCGTGGGAGACACGGGAAGCGAGCGACTCACGTCCTCCATCCATGGCGTCTAGTTAACGGCGATCGGCCGGAAACGTCGGATCTCGCGGCCATTTCATTCAGGTCCTCCGGCGGTGGCGATCGTGGGGGATTGAGCAGTTCCGGAGGAGCGGAGCCGGAGCGGGTTTTTAAAAGGGTCGGGGATTGGGCGAAGTGGGTGAGAGGAGTGGGTAGTGTTGAGTAGGACGACACGTGTGATTCCACGTGTCCATCTTGATCCGAAACCTTACGGAAAACGGCTTCTCGTACGTGACCCGTTTCCACAGACAGCGGTTTCAACGGGGACCAACTTTGTCCGCGAGCCACAGGAAATCACTATCTTGTACGCACATATTCTCCATAACCACACTTTTGCCACTCCGCTAGTGTAGCCTGAGAGCTGCCCAAGGTGTCATCATTGTAATTAATGCTCATCTTCAGCGATGAATGCGTCACATAGCTTCCCGTTTATTCCGTCCTTCAAACCGTTGCGCGCGGGATCAATGAAGTCGATCAAGGAAACCACTATTCCTGGCACCGTAAGATCTCGACACGCGTCCAGATATATATGCTAACTTGCTGGCATAGTTAATGCGAGGGTGACGGAAGGAATTGCATACGGGCAAGTAATTAATCCATAAAAATAATTAAAAGATGGAGGTGACTAACATTGTCGGGGTGACGAAGCGTGTGGGCCGTGCACAGCGCTTGGCGTCCAATCGGGGACGGAAGCGTCGAGGGGACTCGAGCATTGCGTGCCGCTAGACTTGCTTATCCGGAGATGTGACGCGGTTAACCACATTCACAAGAAAGGTGCATCGATCAAGTCACATTCTCGCTTGGGGACAAGTCATCTCCATGTTGGTGTACTCGTCCCTGTCAAACTTATGACGTATCGACATGGATATATACACTTATATAATTGCATTCATGCGGGCCCCTTTGAGAAGCGTCACATCGCCGTACAATAAATACGTGTTGAACATGGACGCACCTTTGCAAAAAATGTTTCGTGAAATTAATGTAAATTTGCATAGTTGCATCAGTGGAGAGTTGACATATTTTGCAATAAAAATAAGATACTATTTATTTTATTCGGATGATAAATTTATGGTTTACTTGAGTGCATATGTTACAACAAAATGAAGGAATGAGACATAAAACATTATGTTTTGATTGCTGGAGTTGTGCAGTTCCCTTGACACAAAAGCTTTACTGTTGAAGATGATAAATAGGTTCTGTTGGAGACCCCAGAGTTGGATAAGATGTCCTAATCTTGTAGGAGCCTCAAGGCCCTTCAGCTCTCAACTGTTGCTATATTTATATATAGACATTAGTTCTTTCCTGCTCAAACTTTCTTCTCAGTAACATCTCTCATAGCTTTGGTTCAGAAGGAAGTCATGGTCATGGAGCACCCAAGGATGGTCCCAAAACCATGTGCTTGCTTGCCCTCCCTTCACAAAACTATAGACACATCAATTCTTGCAACTTTCTTGAATCTTGTATCAAGGTGTCCTGGGAGAAATAACAAGTGGTATTAAGGAAGCTTGTTGTTCAAGTGTTGGAACTATGAGAAATTGCATCACAGAAAAGAAAAAGAAAAAAAAAAACTCTCAGATCACAGTAAGAGCTATATAATCAAATTCTTGGATCCAGTTTTGGGAAATTGAATAATAGGTGACTGGTGGGCCACATTCAATGATTTTGAGTAACTTTAAAGGCAGATGTTCTCTTTCTAAAGCTAGTTGGGGGTGGTGGTCTAATTCACCTACAATGTCATGATTATGAGTCTCTCATGTTCTCTCTTTAGAGTGACAGCATATGATGTATCATTTCAACTTGCAATATTCCACAGCATATGGTCAGCTAAAAAGAAAGTTTCTGCAGTGAAGAAGGGAAAAGTAGACTAAAATGTTGGTTTTGTTTGTTGGTCATTGTTGTCTGCTGGTCTGAGCTTAAGCTACTTAAGAACTAACATATTATAAATTACAAAAGGAAAAAAAGGTCAACTAAAAGTAAAGTTAATGCCTTTTTGAAATAGCCATTATCAATAACCTCCATGACAAAGGATGCGTTCCTCATATTTTACATTGATTGTACTAATGCAAACAAGAGATGAGTTATTTTGGTGAAATATTCATGTCAAAACATAAATAATAGCATCATATATCACTTTGATTGCTGCACTTCATACATACTGGCCATAAGGTAATTGTGCTCAAGACTACTCTTTAATCTGCTAATGCCAGAAGATTGTTCTACAGAACCACATCTGACTAAATTACTCTGACAAACATTGATCAACAACTCAGTTCATATATGTAAGTTGAGAATGCTGAATTACTTAAGAGAGTTTATCATGCCTTAAGATGTTTAATAAAGTTGATTACCTTGTTTTCTCTATCTGTACTTTAAATTGTTCAAGGCAGAATCAAGCTGTTTACTTATTGTTAAAAGTGTCTTCTGAAGTGTTCTGGTTAGCTTACTCTCATCAAACCGGAATCGATAAATCGGGGGGAGTTGGCCACCAACATTTTGGTGGTTTAAGTTTTCGATAGCTGGTATCAACCAAGGCAAATGTGAAATATCATACGATTTGATGACAAATGACTTTTAGTTTGAGCCAACCCAAACTAAAACTTGGCAACATCTACAGATGTCTTTTTTTTTTTCTTTTTTCTTTTATTCCCCTCTGCTAAACTGAACTTTTGCTGGTGCCAGTTTTTGATACACAAATGGCTCAATTATCTGGCTGTCAGTTGCATCAGCACTAATTGTTCAGACTACCATATTATGACTATTGCTAATGAGGTTGGTAGGAAGAAGTAGAACATCATGTTCTCAAGTGCTAAGATTGATGACTTCTTTAGTGTGGCTTTATCCAGAGATAGCCCCACATATCATTAAGGATGGAGTTCCTGCCTTGTTGACAACACAGAAGGTAGGCAAGAGTCATGAATGTCTGCATTGAGAAGTAACAATTCCCATTGTGCCAAACTGCAAGTCATTTTGGCCTCATCCATTTCCTTGTTGATGTACAGCCACTTCTGATATGGTCAAGCCTAAGCCAAAAAAATTCTGCTTAAAAAACACTTTGCTGGGACAATAAAATTATCCTCAAAGGTTATGTAAAATGACCACTAAAATTATTTAGAGCTCTCAGAAACAAATCCCACAGCAAGATCCTTCATTACCACATCAGTCTCAGCCTTTTCTCCATAATAGAATCAGCATCTGGCTGTTTGCTAGAACAAGAAGCCACACCTTTTCTTTCCACAGCCTGCAATCTCCACTGACACTAAGAATGACCAAATTTTACAGTTTTCTGTTGTGTAATTTGTCCATTTGGTTCCGCAATTTATATAATGATGGATAATGTTTCGAAACCCCTTCTTCCTCGCACAATTTGGCATAAGAATGAGGGTCATACTTGAAATTTATTATTGGATTATCGGGTTATAGGACTCCGTCAACGACACTGATCCGATATGTTCGTTTAACTGGATTGTGTTTCCATCATCGGAATCCTCGAAATGGATCGGGATAAAAATGATCCGGGCCGGATGTCTGGGTTTAGCCCAACAATGAAGTCAACCGAACCGTGCATTGAGACTATTTTCGTCATTTAGACGTTCTGAGTCTCCTGACGCGCGCTCTCCGTAATAGAGACAAACTAATGAGGGTAGAAGAGAAATTTTGCGTTTCTGGAAAGTTCCTATTGGCCTTGTAAAAGTAACCGCCTTCCACCGACCAGACTCTCCCCCGATCTCCATTATTTTTATTCCAATTACACCCCCTCATCGGTTTCTTTTTTCTGACTTCCCTCACGCCCGCTTCGGCTTCGAGATAAGAAGCGCGAGAGGGAGGCAGAGGTAACTTCTCGTCCGCTCTTTCCGTCCTTTCCTCCCTCCCTCCCTCCCTTTTGATTCCGATCTTGGGCTTTTTCCTTGTGGATTCGGTTAGGGTTTCTTCACCTCCTGGCTCTGATCGGGCCTATCAGTTTTGTCCCTTCGTGATCGGTGTCCGATTTTGGGTTCTCGAGGGGGTGTTCGGCAAATTCCTCTGCTCTACTGCTGTTTCTGGTTTTCGGCTGTCGTTAGCGGAGGTGTTATTCGTGGATTTAGTGTTGTAGATGCGATTCTTGGGCTTTTTTATGTTCTGATCTGGATTTGCTTCGCTTGTTTGGGCTTTAGTGGGTCGAGAGATGGCGGGAAAAGGAGGAAAGGGGCTCCTCGCGGCGAAGACCACGGCGGCGAACAAGGACAAAGACAAGAAGAAGCCGATTTCCCGGTCTGCCCGAGCCGGGTTGCAGGTAAGATCTGTTCACCTCTTTTCTACTCTTCGTCATCGTCTTCTGCTTTCCGTATACGAGGGTTCGTTCTCCGAGAAAGTTGGCTGTGAATGGTTGGTTACGTTTACATGGGACTGTTCGATTCATCTTGCTGTTGTCAAGTCATTTTGGCACAATATGCCTCCCTTGCAAGTGCACTACCCTTTTATTAAAGTGAATTATTGTTGATTTACACAGCTAAAAATGGTGGCAATTTAACATGCAGTGGATTCTGAAAGGATATTTGATATGTTGGATCAATCTGGGTAATTAAAATAGTTTTATTATTCGTTTAGGATCATATTTTTTATGCGGAACATTTCTTGTGGCTATTTGCCTTTGAGATGTTCTTTTCTCTCTTCCCCCAACACAAACAGAACTAAGAGCATTAAAGGGCTGTTCTTGTAAACTTAAGTTTTACTTGCTAAGAGTAAAACTGTTCGCTGTTAGCATTAAAGGGTGGTTGACGTTCTTGTAAACTTAAAGTTTTACTTGCTGAGAGTAAGACTGTTCGCTATTGGCATTAAAGGGTGGTTGCCATCTGTTCGCTTTTGCTTGGAGTGTTTTCCAACACTAGGTCCCATTTGATTGGTGGGGTTATTTCTTTTGTCTGGTGATACTTATCATGGTTGTTCTTCCAAACAAAAATAAGTTAAAAGTTCTTAGGCAGGTAAAGTATTTTCATGAAATGAGCTGCTCGATCCTGTGTTTGGTTTGGGGTTAAAATGATTAACTAATTATATAGATAATCCTGTTCCTGGTCTCTTTTTTTTTTTTGGATGCTAATGGGTGGATTATGTGGGTTAGTAGGTAAATGGAAGAAGGTTATTATTACCCACTATTTAGATGGGCCGTTTTATTCTGGGATATCCTCGTTAAACTCCTTTGATTGAGTTTAATGTGACCATTCATTACTGTGTAGCATTTGGCTGGTGAAATGGAATTCTTCTAACTTAGCTTGCAATCTAGAATGGATGCAACCATGGGGTAGGATGGGACCCACTTTTTCCTGTAGCGGGATGGAACTCCTTTATACCAACCTTTTCAATCCTAGTTCAAGTCCCTTTTTCTCTGCCGATCTCCTCTTTCTTTTTAAAATTATCATTCTGTGTGTCCAAACTTTTTCTTATCTTTTCTTATTTTTGCCCATTTCTACCAAATGCTCTAGGTATGAAACCGTGATGCTACTTTTTTTTCTGGACTTCCATTTCATCGTTGGTGTTAGTTACCCTGAGCCAAGGTCTATGAGCATAGTTGTCATGTTCATGATGTAAAGATTTATATCTTTCATTACTGCCTCTCTTTATACAATCACTAAATTGATCAAAATTTGATATAATAGTCCAATTTTTTTTTTAAAGCGGATTTTATGTAAATCAACTCATATCTGTGTTGTTATTGGCAACAATTTGTTAATTTTGACATTTATTGCCATAACAAACGACAGTCGCTCCATTGCAAGGGTTTCTTTTCTTTCGTGAACTAGCTATGTTTGCTTCCTCTTTTCCTATACGTTCTGGATATCAATTTAATCTCTGATTTAAGTCCATAAAAGGTGGGTAACTAACTGATGTTGAGTGCCATGGGGCCTTGAACATACTTCCTGCTCCGGTTGAAACCCTTCACCACTATAGTTCTCCTTGGTTATCACTGACGTCTCTTGGTTATCCTCTGTCTCCCTTCTCTTTATCATTAGAAGCTACTTGTGTCACCTCCATCACCTAATTCCAACTAGAACATTTGATCTCCATCTCCTCTCGCTTCGTTCCATCTTTATTGGTGGTTGTCTTTTGTTCATTTTTCTCCCACTATCATACAGCCGTGGGCTGCCACCATTTGCTCCATAAATTGCTTACAAAGAGGAGCTTGCTTGCAAAAGAAGAGTCACTTTGCATCTTCTAATCATCAAGGTTCTTTGTGCTTGTCTAAATCTAGTTTTTTTGTTTTCTCTTTCTGCTTGGCCTTATGCTGATTAATTTACTTCAGCTCATTGTATTATTCTTAAGTAGCATGAATGCTGGTATTATCTTTCTTCCTTATTAATATTAAAAATATTATTTTCAATGTAGGCTGAGAAATTTTTGCTACATGTTAATGTGATGTGTTTGGATCATATAAATGGGTTAATTAGGTTCCATTTGTTGAATATTGGTGTTGTAAATGATCTGAATTATGTCGATAATGGCTGGTCAGTGTCATCTTTGAGTTGACTGGATCAATCAGTTTATCAGACTAGATATTTAGGTCAGTCAGATTTCAATGGGCATCAGATGTTGGGTTTGGTCATATGTTTCTGACATGATTATTGCAAGTATCATTTCAGGATTCAGAGTTATCTTAGTATATCCATTTCAACTTAAGATGAGCTTGATTGACTTGTGACTGCTGGTTATGGATGGACGTTAAATAGCCTACACAACCTAGATGATAAAACGTTTTCTTAAGTCTAGGCTACAAATTCAAATATGTCATTTTCTTTTTTTTTTATTGTGAGTTAACTAGTGCGTGTGTATGAGCTTCAGCATATCATTGGTAAAGTAACAGTTCATTGAACCTTGTTACGGCATTGATATTTGAAATACTTGGAATAAAGGACATTGTGGCATCAACAAATTGTTATGAGGCTGAAGCTCTTGGGTGTTTGCTTATGGCAAATATGACGATAAGCTTGTTGTAAACTTGTTTTGTGACCTTGGGCTATCATATACTTATTTTCTTGATAGAAAATGGTTGATAAAAGCTCATCCTGCTTGTAGATGGGTCAAATAAGATAGTTCTATGTATTAAAATTTCTGTTACATGGGGCGCATATTTATTGTTAGGTTCTTATGAACCGTTCATTTGCCGAAGGGTATAGTTGATGTTATCCTGGCAGTGATGCTGTTCTGATAGTAAGATATCGGCTTCTTTGAGTGTTTGTACTTGTGTGATTTCTGATTGTCTAGGGATTTACACCGATAAATAATACTTAAAATTTAATGTTTTATAATTTGGAAATTTCTTATTTCTGTGATCCATATACTTTAAATAGTCGGGACTTTACTGTTTTGGTCTTGTTGTTATCATTGTCGCATTGTCTTATTTCAATGATGGAAACACTTGGTAAGTGGGAATAATAAACTTGATTGTGTACTGTTAATTAACATTTTGCATGGTTATCTAGCTTGTTCCTATTCGCTTACCTTTTAGGCAGTAGGGTTCTGAAGAATTGCTCCTGAGAATCGAGCATCAGTTTTGTAATTTTTGTAATTTCATTCTTCATTATTGACGTAACCTTAATATCTTTCAAATCTGTAAGCTCTTTTGTGTTGATCTAAAAAATCATGTTATAATCTCTGTTTCTTTTGAAGTCAAGAAGTTAGATTATATGACTTAAGTAGATCGTACTCACATAATGCTTACATGGCAAGATATCCCTGTCTGCTAA